TTCTTAATCTTTTGCTTAATTCAAAGGTAAATATGAGTAATTCTTCTTCTTCTTCTTCTTTTTCTTCTTCCAAGGGTTCATCATCTTCTTCTTTTTTTGATTTATCTTCCTCCTCCAAGAGTAATCCTCCTAGTGTTGTAATAGAGTTTTCAGCCCAACCCGAAGATGTAAATCTTGAATCTATCGAGGACACTATGAAGTCAAAAATTGTTCCCAATTTTGAATGAGTTCACAAGATTGTTGCTACTTAAAACTCTCATTAATTTCAATGACCTGAGAATCCTTGAAAATTTCACGTCTCTTATGAAAATTTATACTTTCTTTATTGAAAAGGATTTTTCTCCTATACTCATTAGGTATTGTAAAATTGATACATCTCCTAACTCAAATTATATCTTTGCCAAAAAAGACCCTTCAAGACAAAACTCATTTCTTCTTAATGTGTGACTGTCTTTTTCAAAACCTCAATATTACTATCCCCTACAATCCATTCATTGTTAGTGTTCTTTGAGTATTAAATGTTGCCCCTACCCATCTTCACCTAAATAGTTGGGTAGTCATGCAAGACTATGTTAATAAGTTTGTCATACAAAATTGATGATAAAAGTGTCACAACATTATCTATTAATTTAGTTGTAAAACAATTGATATAATAGTCTCGATATAGATAGTGGTACATGTTTAATATATAAGAGTTGACTGATAATAATCAATTATTTTAAAAATATTAAAATTAATTCATAAGTAATTGTGATAAATAAAAAAATTAATTAGATAATAAATTAAAAAAATAACACAAAATATTTTTACACAAATTAATCATCCGCATTTAATATATAAGGATTGATATTATTAAATGTTAAATTAAATACTTTATTTTTATAATTAAATTGATAACTTTTCATTATTTGCCATATATATATATATATATATATAATTTTAAAATATTCAATTTATTAATTACTTATCACATATATTTAATATTTTATTATATTTAAGAGAAAGAGTTTTGTGACTTATAGTAATTCTACTTCTATCTAATTCGAGTATGATTTTCTCAAAAAAGAAAAATACATTCTAAAAATACAACTCATTAATTAAATATGATACATTCAAAAACAATAATTAAATATGATATATAATTAATTTTAATAATATTACAAAATATGATATTCATTATTCAATATGTTCACATTTATTAAATTTAATATGTGTTTATTAAATGAATGATAACTTATATCATTCTATCAAAATCAACTTCAATATACACAAATGTCTTTTTTATACGAAAACAATTTTAAGAATTTTTCTTCAACGAAAATGTTTTTAGAGATTATTTTAAATGATTATATAATTTATTTTTTTTATTAATTATAATTATTTATAAATTAAATTTTAATATTTTTAAAATAAATTATTAATAAAATAAGAATAATATTATTATATAATATAAATTATTTATCATAAATAAAAATATAATTTATACATTTAAATATATATATATACACATATATTATATAAAATTTTAAATATAATTTAGATATTTGGTATAGTATTTATTTATATATAATTTATTATAAATTTTAGTTATATATAATAAATATTTAATCTATATACAATCTAAAAAACTAGTTGAAAATATATTAAATAAAATAATTATTATATTAAATTACTTATATTTTCATCATATGAATTACAATGACATAACAACATTCAAATTTAGGATCCGTGTATACTATATTTTAATCCTTATAAAATGAGTAAGTTTGAATTTTGGTTCCTATATTTTTTTCTCTTTATTTTCTATTTGAAATTATTGTTTTTAGTTTATATTATTATGTGATCTTTTTTTAACTATTTATATGCTTATTAGAGAGTTAAGTTATTGTATCAAGTGATATCCACAACCGTATATCCATAACTGTTTATGATCTTATGTAATTGTGTAATACCACTAGTATTAAAATAAATGTCATTTATCTACTTTAAAATAATCGTTAGGATAAAAAAAAATTTATATTTTAGAGGTTTAAGGTTTAAGATTTAACATTTATGATTTTAGAGGATTGAAAATCAAAGAAAAATATCTTATATAAAGATTAAAACCAAATTTGTTCATTTTACATTGACAAAAAAACAATATTTTACAAATTTTAAAAGGACTAAAAAAGAATTTAAAGAGAACCAAAACTTGATCATTTTACATATCTTAAAATATATTTAAGCCATTAAATTTAAGATGTTTTAATAAAATTGATACTTTTCATATATGTTTAATGTCTATGCGTGTTAAAAATATACTTTATATGAAAAGAAATTATTATACACAAGCTCGCACACCCACATCTACACGCACAGACATAAACACACATACATACACACGCGCACACCCATATATATATATATATATATAT